AAAGTTTGGGAAGCACTTCAGTAGACTATGAGCCTCTTGCCAGCAGGGACCATACCTTACTCATGTTTCACCTCCCCAGCACCCAGCTAGTGATTGACATGCTTGTTTTTGAAAGGCACAGTACTACCGATGGTGGCAAAACATCTGTGAGGTTGAGGAAGATATTATTATTTAGGTAATCCCAATCCTTTTCATGTATCTGGCAAAGTGAAGAAGTGGTTTCTTTCTTCTCAGAGCCCTAGGATTCCATGGATGGAATGCAGAGGCTGCCTGGAGGGAGAAACCATATAAGAGGCTCTTAATTATGCTTCTAACTCTCCACCACCACCAGAGCAGCACCAATTTTACCCATTTTATGTATTAGACTTCAAGTAAGATTTTATATAAGGTAACCTTTGATTGCTTTGGGAAAAAATGTGGGGGAGGAGGGGCTGGTGTGGCTCAGTGGTTGAGTGTTGACTTATAAACCAGGAGGTCACAGTTCAATTCCCAATCAGGGCACATGCCTGGTCAGCAGGCTCAGTCCCTGGTGGAGGGTGTGCAAGAGGCAGACAATCAATGATTCTCTTTCATCATTGATATTTCTCTCTCTCCCTTCCTCTCTGAAATCAATAAAAAAAAATATTTTTTTAAAGAAGCTTTATTGCCGGGACCGGTTTGGCTCAATGGATAGAGCATCGGCTTGGGGACTGAAAGGTCCCGGGTTCGATTCCGGTCAAGGGTATGTACCTTGGTTGCGGGCATATCCCCAGGAGGGGGTGTGCAAGAGGCAGCTGATCGATGACTCTCTCTCATCGATGTTTCTAACTCTCTATCTCTCTTCCTTCCTCTCTGTACAAAATCAATAAAATAAAATAAATAAAATTTAAAGAAGCTTTATTGGCACTCTACCTATATTTGTGACAAATGTTGGAAACAGTATAGTAGATGGAATTACACAGATATAACTCTGGACCTTAATACAGTACATTCTGAAACATATGGAGAGGTAGACATTTAAAGGAGATAAGACTAGCCCTAGCCAGTTTGGCTCGGAAGATAGAATGTAGGCCTGAGAACTGAAGGGTCTGGGGTTCGATTCTAGTCAAGAGCATATGCCCAGGTTTCCGGCTCAATCCCCAGAATCCCCAGAGGGGCGTGCAAGAGGCCACCAATCAATGGTTCTCTCTCATCATTGATGTTTCTCTTTCCCTCTCCCTTCCTCTCTGAAACCAATAAAAATATTTTTAAATTAAAAAATAAAGGAAATAGGACTAAATGAAAAATGGTCCAGAAAATGGATGATGCTGAAATGCTTATCGAGACCTAAAACAATGGGATCCAGGAATCTAAATCCTGACCTAAGTCAATCAAGGTGCACTTTATGGAAGAGTCAACCCTTATCTCAGAGTCATGATGACTTTTTAAACATATACACTATTCTCTTTTGTTGTTGTTTATCCTCACGCAAGGATATTTTTCCATTGATTTTTAGAGAGTGGAAGGGAGCAGGAGAGACAGAGAAAGAAACATGTGAGAGAGATACATTGACTGCTTCCCACACGCCCTGACAGGGCTGGAGGATCATGATAGAGCCTAAAACCACAGCCTACAACTGGCAACCAAGGTAGGAGTCCTAGACCAGAATCAAACCCTTGACTAGAACCAAATCCAGGACCCTTCAGTCTGAGGGCCAATGCTCTATCCACTAGCCAAACCGGCTACGGCATAAACACTATTCTTGAGCTCCCACATCCTCACACAAGCTGATGGCTCAGGGACCTGCCTTGCTCCAGCTTCACCTCCCACTCAGGCAGCAGGAGCTGCCTCTGTGAAGCTGATGCTGAAAAAAGATTTCACTGCTCATAAACCTACAACCAGCACAGAGAGTCATGGTAACAATCATCCCCGCTACAGGCACCTCAGGCGGTAAGTTATTCTTATGTAAACCTTTAAGGCAGCCTAAGTGCTCCTATTATTATTACCATTGTGTGGTGATGATTACTGATAGCAGTTAACATTTACTTGGGGCTTACTATGTGCTTTGCACAATACTAATAATATACATAAGTGCTATATGTGTATTATCTCATTTAATTCTCCTACAATTCTACAAAGTAGGTATTATCGTCATACTCTTTACAGATGAGGAAAATGAAAATAAGAGAGGACAAATAATTTCACAAAAATCATACAACTGGTAATAGTATAGGCAAGATTTGAACCCAGTTTTGTCTGATTCCAAATTCCACACCCTTAATTACTGTACTATTTTGCTTCTAAATTCATCTGCAACAAAAATGATTAGGAAAGCCAAACTTTACTCTTGGAGTCTCAGGCCTCTTGGCATCCGTTTCTAAAGGTATACAGAGAAGCAGATGCCACAATTTCCCTGTTATTTACTCAGCTTTAAAAAACCTGGTTCTATGCCCAATCAGGGTTAGCCAAGGCAGTGACATCACCACCGACCGGAGTAAAACCCCTGGACTGGGCGAAATTTGCTCTCTCTTCCGCCATGCTGCCGGCGTGAGGGGGACAGAGCCCATGCTAGCATGGAAAAGGCTCTTTTGTTTACTGCATCGGACTGGGCTCCCTGGTGGTCCTTGGGGATCACGAAGTCTGGGCATAACAATCATCTGCATATTGTTCTGTGCATTCATCACCCCAAGCCAAGTCTCTTTCTCAAGCTCCTTGAATGCAAAAAAAAAAAAAAATAATAAATAAATAACCTGGTTTTAAAGAAGTTCCTTCTTCCAACCAGTAAATCCCGCCCACTATCCTGAGTCCATTTCCTCTTATGACTCCAGTGGAAGAGAGTAGCAGAAATGAACACACACAACATCATCCTTTGTGCACTTAAGACTTCACTTCCAGTCTTTCCAGTCTGCTGTCCACCTTTTATATATGCATTCAGTTTAATAATAGCAGCTACGATTCGCTGGCACCAATTCTGTGCCAGGCACCACATACATCCATTGGTTCCCTCCTCCATGATCTCCAGGACCCCAATTTGCAGACAATACTCTGAAGGACTTAGAGCTAATGGAGAGAATCCTATGCCCAACATGGGGGAGCAAAGATCTGGGATTTCAGATAAATGATTCTGTGCTCTAGTAAAAAAAATTTTGGGGGGGTAAGGGTCTTACTTTCCATTATCCGTGCTGCTTTTGTGCTTCTCAGGAGAGTGGGGAGATCAAGACTTTTAAACTACCGCCAGGCACTTTCCCTGACAGACAAGCCATCTCTTTCTCCTTAAACTGTAGGAAAAAAGTTCGTTGAGTTCTATCCATTCACACCCTCTATTCATCATGAGTGCCACTGTGTGCAAAGACCTTGTGGGAGACACAAGATGAGTGCCAATTCCTACATTCATGAAGATTAGTCTCTTTAGAAAAGCAAGACTTGCACATAAAAATGTTGACTGTGCAAAGTAATAAATCTACACTGGAAGACAGGAAGCATATGAATGTGATACATAGGGCCCCTTCCCAGATGAATCCAAGGTTATGATTCATTTTATAAAAAGGTGAACCCAATGAACCAGCTTCTTTATTAGAACGAGCTTTTACAGGCATGTTATTCAAACTCAAGTCTAATGTGCAATGACCAAGTCTAATGACCAATTCACTGCCCCACCCCAGTCATAGCAAGTGGGGACACCCCAATAAGCTCAAGATAAAATGGCAGCAAATTAGGGACAAGGAAGGAAGTATGTGGGGACTAGATTCTGTTCTGTAGTCCTGACCCAAGCAATCAGACTCCTGCAGCAGATCGCCAACCAATAAAACTTTCATGCCATAGACCAGGGGTGACCCAATCCAACAGCAGTAGAGGCAGGTTTTAAGTTTCACTTCTCTGCACCCGGATGACCTCACTATTTCTTCTCACTCCTGACCACACACACACCACACTCCTCCGGGCCTGGCCAGAGCCAGTCTGGCAGTAATACAACCCAGAAAGAAGGGAATTCCCTCAAAAGACGAGCCACCACTTTGCTAATCAAGAGGCCTGTTCTAACCGGGAACTCCACCTCCCCCTCCTTTCCTCAAACATAGGTGTAAGCAATGCCTCCATTTTCTGTTCCGGGAATCCTGGTACTTCCGAAAGAGAGAAAAGCGGATTGGAAGACATACACTCAGAGCCAGCGACCAGGCGTTCCTTCCTCCAGTGACACCGCCCCCGCTTCGCCTGGGGGAGGAAGGCACCGCCGCTCCCTCCGAAGCAAGAACAGATCCCCTCCCCCTCTGCCCACTCTCCTCCCGCTCCCCACCAGCTGCCCTCTCCCAACGTGCAGGTCCCCAGACCCCAAAGCGCAACCTCCACCAGAACAGGGTGATCCTCTAGCCTGTCCTGCTGGCTACTCCCTCAACCCCTGATGCACCCCTACCCCACAAGGAGAGGGGTGTCACCGCAGCAATGCTTCTCTACGGTCTCCTATGACTAAGGTAGAGGGGAAGAGGGGGTGGGGGGGAAAGCAGCCATCCCTAGCCCTTTAACAGGAAAGGATACAAAACAGCCATCGCCGCCCCCGCATCACCTCTCCCTGGACTGCTTTCCTCCTCCTCCATCCCGACTTCTCCGAAGCCCACCTTCTGTAGGCGAGGGGGACCGAATGGCAGTCCAGGTCGCCCCCTTGTGCGAGGCGGAGGACGAATCCGTCAGTGCCCCCCACCCCCACCCCAGCTCCGCGTCCTTCAAATGCTGGAGCAGGCGTGAGGGTGGCCCAGCGTCCCCTTCCCGAGCGCCCGGGTGGGGAGGACCACACTGCCCCAAGCCAGGCAGTGCCCGGCAGGGGGCCCTATGGCCTCAGCCCCCACCCCAAGCCTCTCCGCGGCCGGGACCCGCCTTCCCTCCCCAGCCCCTCACCGGTTCCTGCTCCCAAGCTCCGCCGCTGCGGCCGCCGCCTCCGCCCCCGCAGGTTCCGCTCGGATCTCGCTCGGCTCCCTCCGGCTCCCCCAGCCGATTTCAACGCCGCCGCTGCCCTGGCCCCGCTCCCCGGCTCCCTCCTTCCTTCCCTCTACCTGGCACCGGAAGCCGCGACAGCGACAAGGGCTGTGCGGCGCACCCCCACCCCCAGACCGGGATACTTCCCACCTCCCCGATCGCGCGAGAACTGCGTGGCGGCAGCGAGCGGCAGTTCTCGCGAGAGCCATCACCATGGCAGCGGCTGCTGCGGAGGCATCCGGGTGTTAGAGACGAAGCCCGGGCGGGGGCGATGTGGGGGCTGGAGGCTGTGGGCAGTGGAAGCAGGAGCCAGGGGAGGAGGGTGAAGCGTTGAGGACTGTGAGGACAATACACAGCTCCAGGGCCATACCTGAAGTTTAAGGACTGGGCCCGCGTGCTGGCCACCCTGCAGACGGGTTGAGCTGAGAGCCGGGGGCACCTTGGGCAAAGCCTGGAGCAGGTATGAGTGAATAGGCCTTGCTGTGGCCGCCTAACTCCTCCAGACCTCATCTTTGTTAACCAGGGCTAGTAGCATCCCCCTGAGAGCTCTCCTACACCGGTGTTACTGCTCACCACTAGGTTATCCAGGGGTCTGAATCAAGATGTCTTTTCCCATAGGGAAGAGAAGGGAGAGTGATGAATTTATGAGACTGAAGGAAACATCTGAACTCTGGGGCTACAAGGAAATTGGAATATTGAACGCGGAGATGTGGTTTGAGGAAGTGTACCTAGGTGATTATGAATTTTAGTACCCCAAGGAAAGTGAGACTCCGCTTCCATGTTCCTCTCTTCCTGCCCATCCCCTCTTCCCTCACACTCATTTCTGCACCTGGTCTAGACCTGCAAAGTTGTGTTGGAACTCTCAAGACTGTCATCAAAGAAAGGCGCTAAAAATGCTAAGAATAGAAGAAGGTTCTCTAAGTGCCCTCGCTCTACATTTACAGCAATATAAGAGAACACATGGCTCTTCCCTAAGCCCTGTGCCAAAACTTGCTTTTCTGTATTGTGGGCCTTGTTTCTTGAATCCTGCCAAGGAGTAGGCTGGTAGATAGCCACACTATGTCTACCTCTTACCCCATCAATCCCTGGTGCATGCATTCACCAGTCTCTTCCTCTTATCCCAGTCTGTTTTCTTCCATATTTTAACCTAGAGAAAAACATGACCCTAGAATGTGAAGACAAGATGGTGAGGGATGAGATGGCTAACAAGGAGCATGTTTATAACAAACAGAGTTGTATCTGTCCTGAGCTGTTGCCCGTCAGGGCTTTTACCCTGCTAAGTTTTATATTTTAAGTGGCAGAAGACTCCTCCAGTGTTATTACGGATTCTGAAAGTGGGCCCTGTGATACATCCACATAATTATCTTTTCCATTTCTTTTCCTAGAATATTCTAGAAACACCCCACCAGGTTATGCCCCCCACGCTGATCACAAAAAAATATACATTAAAAACCCTTTCTCGCCAAAACCGGTTTGGCTCAGTGGATAGAGCGTCGGCCTGCAGATTGGAAAGTCCCAGGTTCGATTTCAGTCAAAGGCATGTACCTTAGTTGCGGGCACATCCCCAGTGGGGGCTGTGCAGGAGGCAGCTTTCTCTCTCATCATCGATGTTTCTTTCTCTTTTTTTATTATAATTATTACATTATTATCTGTGTACATATCTTATCATTCCCCCCCTCCCATTCATACCTTCCCTCCCCAGAGTTTTGTGTCCATTGGTTGTACTTATATCCATGTATACAAGTCCTTCGGTTTGTTTCTAACTTTCTATCCCTCTCCGTTCCTCTCTGTAAAAAATCAACAAAATATATTAAAAACAAAAAACAAAACAAAACAAAACAAAAAACCTTTCTCTAGTACCCAATGACACTAACATGACTTGTGGCTTTCTTATAGGAGGTGGAACCTGTCAGTGTTACTGCCCAAGACTTCAGATCCTCTCAAGGTTGGGTCCCAGGTGTGACAGAAGGATGTAAATGGTGTGACCTAATATGGTATGCAGCAAGGTATTTGAGTCAGAACTGATTAATGGGACTAGAGAATCTCCCATTTCTTCTGTCCTTCACTCCTTTGGAGTCTTGAGAAGAAAATGTCCTTTGCAGCATCACTGGGTGCTTCCCATGGAGCAAACAAATGCAAAGATAGGAGGGGTGCTGCCCAGCTGGCAGTTAGTCAATCACTGCTACTCTCCAGCTTCCCAACCACTTGAAAGGCTAAAGGAGAAGAGTTCATCTAGAGCTGAAGGAGGCAGAGACCTGGCTTACAGTTCATCAGTCTTTCTCCCTCCCTCTGACTTCCACTGGAGCTAAGTAAAAGCTGAAATTGTAGCCACCCGCTCTGTGGGTTGCATACTCCCACTCCTGCCACTGACCCCAGGCCTGGGCCTGAGCCCAGCTCGTGTGCCTGGAGCAGGGGTGTGGAAGGCAGGAGGGGCGGTGTTGGCCTTGCTGACAAAATCCATTTGGAATTTCTCAAGGTTGTGGTTTGGGGCTTAAGTTTGCCACAGAGTGTGTGTGACGAAAGATGAGAGCTAGAAAGGGAGAAGGAGTCTAAAGGAGTACAGAGGAAGAAAACCAGAAAAAGCTAAAATATTCCTGCTGTGACTCCATTGGAGATTCTCCTTGCTCTTACTGAGTGTGCAAAATTCCCATCTGGATATTCCTTATCACTATTTTCTCTCATAGTCTATGTCCATTCTAGCAACATCCCACTATCCCCATATGCTCACCAGATATAGTCAGTGCCTAAGGAAGGATGAGATATCTTCCTGCCTCCATCAAATTTTGAAACCCAGAATTCTCAATGCTCAAGTGGAAATTTAGGACATAAAATTTTGCCATAAGGTACTGCCCTAACCCAACACTCCTCAAAATGGTCTTACCTACCCTGGTGTTACCATCATTTCACCTGACTTTGAGAGTAATTTGGGCAGCAGAAATATCTATTGCCTAGAGCAATAGATTTTCTGCCTTTTTTATTTCATTGCACACATAAACTAATTACTAAAATTCTGTGGCACACCAAAAAATATATTCTTTGCCCATCTGACAAAAAAATAGGTAGAATTTTGATTCATTCATCCTGGACAGTTATTGTGTTAGCTGTTGTAGTTTTGTTTTGTTTTGGGGTGTTTTTTTTGTGTGACAATTTAAGGAAAAAGAGATCAGTGCCCCTGACTAAATAGTCAAGTATTGCATTTTTGCATGTTTAAAAAAATTCTTGAGCCTCTGGCCAGATGGCTCAGTTGATTAGAGCATCATCGAATCCCTCACACCAAAGGCCTTGGATTCAATTCCCATTAAGGACACATACCTAGGTTGCGGGTTTGATACCCAGTCTGGGCGTGTATGGGAGGCAACTGATCTATCTATCTATCTATCTCCCTTTCCACCCCACACCCACCCCCATCCTCTCTCTCTTAAAAAAAAATCAATTTTAAAAATTATTGTGGCTAAAACCAGTTTGGCTCAGTGGATAGAGCGGACTGGAAGGTCCCAGGTTCAATTCTGGTCAAGGACATGTGCCTTGGTTTCGGACACATCCCCAGTGGGGGTGTGTAGGAGGCAGTTGATCGATGTTTCTCTCTCGATATTTCTAGCGCTCTCTCTCTCCCTTCCTCTCTGTAAAAAATCAATAAAATATATATTTTTTAAAAATTATTGTGGCACACCAGTTGAAAATTATTGGCCTAGAATATAGAATGTACTCTGTATTCTAGTCGTACATTCCTTGGCCAAGGAGATGACCTGTAACAGTCAGCTTCTTGCAACTCCATAAGCAGTTACTTGTAAAGTTCTGAATGTGTGAGGCATGTCCTTTTTCCAATGATAATGGTTTGTTTTAAAAAAATATCAGGCTAGGACTAGAAGGATTGGAATAAAAGACATTCTCTTTTCTCTAGTTATGGTTTCTTCTAAAAGATAAAGGAATTATTTCACTAAGATTAAAATTAAATGCAGAAGAGCTTTGAATAAGGAAGGACAAAATACATATGCAAATAATTCAGTAGGAGGGCATGCTGGTTTTGCTGGTTTCCAGAGCAAAAATATTTCCCTTCTGAGCACAGGAATCCCTTTTATATGTTTCCCATTAGGCTTGTATCTTCCTCCCAAGTTCTCTGATTTGGAGCCAGAGAGAAAAGCACCTGCTCTTTTGGGTGCAGGTTCAACGATGAGATACCTTCAGCACTTGAAAACCCCAAAACATGCCCTAGCTGGTTTGGCTCAGTGGATATAGCATCAGCCTGCAGTTGAAAGGGTCCTAGGCTTGATTTCAGGCAAAGGGTACATGCTATTGGGTTGCGGGCTCGATGATGTGGGCCATGCAAGAGGCAGGCAATCAATGATTTTTTTCTCATCATTGATGTTTCTTTCCATCTCTCTGAAATCAATAAAAATATATTTATATATAAAAAAAGAAAACCCCAACACAGAGGTGACCTCAAAGTGTGGGGTTGGGGTCAACAAACTACAGCCAGAGGACCAGATCTGGTCCTGCAGTCTGTTTGTGTGAACTAAATTATATTGGACATCTTTTTGTTTATGTATGGTCTATGGCTGCTTTTCATCTGCAACAGCAGAGTTGAGTAATTATTGCAGGGTTGAATAGTTGTGACAAAACCCACAAACCTAATATATTTACTATCAAAACCTGTTGTTGTTGTTGTTGTTGTTGTTGTTGTTTTAGGGGGGGGGGCAGTGATTGTTCTAGGGCAGTGATTGAGGCAATCCCTGGAGTTGAGGCACATAGAGAGTAAATAAAGCCTGTATTCGGATCTCTAGCCCCTCACACCTACAAGTCCTCTAGTTTTTCACACTAAGAGTTGCCAACTAAGTCACTGAGGCCCATTTCAAATCCTCTGTGGGACCAACAGGCTACACATAAAGCCATTGAGTGTAGTAGGGTAGGAGAATTCACCTGGAAAAGAAGCCATGGACTGGGATCCCAAGTGTGGTCAGAAATATCACCATCTGCACCCACCAGTCCAGTAACTTAATTTATTTTAGTTATAAACAGGAACCAAGAACAAATCTCAGTACAATAAATTATCCATCCCCACCCCTCCTGCTAAAGAAAGAAAGAGAGGCTCAGAAAATTGTAGGTAAAACTCTTCTCTGGAGGGTCCCCTTTAACATCTGAGTGGGGGGAGAGGACAGACAGCTTCCCTAGGGCCTGGACCGATGACCCTAAGGGGAGAGCACTCCCCCCTCAGCACTCTGTTCCATCCTAAGAAAACCCCCTCTACCACTGTCTCCCATTACCCACCAGAGGGGGTTCAGGCTGCAGTGGAGTTCGTGAACAGCAAAGAGAGTGAGTGGTTTCTTTCTGGATATATTATAGGTCTCAGAGCTCTACACAATGCCTGGGGCTAGCCCTCAAAGGAGAAGAGTGGTCAAACCACAGGGACTCCCCCATTGAAAGGAGTATGAATCAGAGTTAAAGGCCCAGCGTTGGGGAGAGGGCAGGGGCAATACAGTGCATTTCATCTTAGCCCATCCAGGTGTTTAAGGAGTAGAAGAGGGGTGACATCTTCCCCTCTCCCCCACAAGGCCCTTTAACTGTGGGGGAGAAGGCCATACATGACAGATTCCACCTGACTCCCCGCTCCCCCCCCCAAAGGTGTTTCCAGGTAGATACTTTGAACTTCCAGGGGCCAAGATTGACCTTGGACAGAAATGAGAGTAAAAGGCTGAAAAGGCGCCCTCCCCTTCCCCAGCCTGCTGTGAGGCCGACCCTCACTTACACACGTTGACCCACTCTGTGACCTTGCACTCATCACACAGCACATAGCAGCACCAGTGGAAACGGCAATGACAGCGCTCCACTCTCGTCTGCCGGAGCACGTTGTGCCCACGGCCACAGCACAGGCTGCCGCAGCCGTCCAGCAGGCGGCTGGTCTTGTTGCAGGCCCGGCCACGCGTGCCCGGGGAGCCCACGCTGGGGTCTCGCTCACAGAAATCAGGAGACTTCTCAAAGTAAACCAGCTCTCCCGAGAGGCGGCGGGGACGCAGGCGGGGCTGGAAGGCTCCGGAGTTGCGGTTGTGGGTATCAATGAAGATGGCCCTGCCCAGTCTCTCCTTTAATGCTGCCCCCACTGCCCGGAACTCTGGGGCTGCCCTCCAGCAGGTCTTGAACTGGCAGCTGCCTGAAGTGCCGTGACACTTGCATTTCCGCTTTAGGTTTTCAGTTACCACCTGGAGTATCAGAGGGGGAAGAGGTGAAGGAAAGGGCAATAAGTGGATAGAGCACAGAGACACAGAAGAGGGGAGGGACCAGGGAGGCAAAAGGAGGGACAAATAGAGGCAAGAATGAACAAATGATTGTGGAATATGGGGGGGGAGGGGAGAAGCTGATGGATAGCCCAACTGCCTCATTTTATAGTTGGAGAACTGAAGCCAGAGCAGAGGGATTTGCCTATCGGATTTGCCTATCTTCAGTCCCCAGCTGGATAACTCCAGTTGTCCTGACTGGACTCAGTGCTCTTTCCAGAGTGAGTGCTGCTAAAATGGGGAGTTTGGGCCCAGAGCACTCCTAACTTCCATTGGAAAGAAAGCTGTAATAACAGCTATCATGTAATAAGCACCTGTCAAGGACGAGGGACTCTGCTGGGGAGCTCTGTTTACTAGCTCTCTCTTAATGACACTAAGGTAGGTACCCTTAGACTATTTTTACGTAACCAAAACTGAGATCAAGTCACTTGCTCAGGGCTAGCAGATGGTGACAATCACTCATCATATTCCATCCTCTTCCTCTGCTGTGCCTCTCCAACTGGAGTCAGGCCAGAAAGCTAGAGAGACCCAGGATGATTTGCACACGTACCTGTCGCCCCACCCTGTTGTTGTGGATTCGCATTCGTGCCTGGATGTCCCGGGGAGCTTCCCTGGAATCCAAGAAATCCCGAGAGAACTTCTCTCCAAAGTCCATGTCATGGTTACAGCCACCCCATTCCCATGTGTCCTGGGGGCTGGGGCTGGGGCCTGAGCCAGGACCCGGGCTAGGCAGGGAGTGGGGGAAGCTTTTGCCCCGGGACAGGGCCTGCAGCTGCAGCAGTTTGGCCCTCAGCCGGTCCTGCTCACCACTACCCTTCCAGCCACAGCCACAGCTCACCAGCTTGCCCAGGCTGCAGGCTGTGGCCACCGCATGCATGACGCCAGCAGCCAGCATGGAGAAGGAAAAGGCACTCTCACGGAAACCTGGGGATGAAAAAATGCGATGGTGAGGGTGAAGTTGACAGGCCGCTGAGCGCAGGGAGGCAGAGGGAAATAAACAGCCATCCTCCAATTCCAGAAATTCCTAACTCAATCCTGACCCTGCCATTACTAGCTAAGTACTTTGGGAGAAAGTCGTGGAAGAAAAAGGGGAACTGAAAGTGCAGAGCCTCAGTTTCCTCATCTATACATTGAGGGGCTGATGGGTTGAGATGGTCTCTGAGGCCCGTTCTCGCTCTGTCAGTCTGGGATTTTCAGGTGTGGAAGAAAGAGGGAAAGACCCTGGGGTTGGGAGAGGACTAAAAGGGAGTCCCTGTGGTCTTTGAAGATGCATTCACTGAGTTCTACATCTGAAAGCCTTAGAAATTCCCCAGCCCTGCAGGGAGCTTGGGTGGGGTGGAAGCAGAGACAATAAGATTTCCTCCTTCTTCTTCTTCTTCTTCTCCTCCTCCTCCTCCTCCTCCTCCTCCTCCTCCTCCTCCTCCTTCTTCTTCTTCTTCTTCTTCTTCTTCTTCTTCTTCTTCTTCTTCTTCTTCATTGGGGTTATTTTAATCGGCATTTTAACCAATCTAACCTCCACCACCCCCAAACCTCCACTGTAGTTGTGGAGCTGTCCTTCACCTTTCCAGTTTCTAGTTTTATATTTGTCCTTAGGCTGCTCTTTAAGTTTATCCTAACCTGCTATTACTCTATATAAAATGCTGGGAAGGGGAGAGAGGTGGGGTGATTTTCCCTAAGGCCCTCTTAAAATGTTGGCTCCTTTGTTTTGTTTTTGGGGTCACAGAGGCTCAGCATGACAAGCCTTTCCCAGCCTCAGGAAGATATGCTTCTCATCTGGGCATCAAAGCCTCCCCCTACAACGTGTCCCGTGAAGAAAGAGGGGATCCCTCACTTCCTTTTAGGGAGGGGCTCCGGGAGCCGGAGAGGATGAGAGGCAGCAGCTCCTTCGGGGCCAGGCCTTGCCCACCTCAGGATGCAGGGCTCCTGGCTCAACCTCCTGATTCCCCCCTCCAACCCCAACCCTCCAGGGGTGAAGCTGTTAGCACACGTCTTGGGAATTCCCCTGCAGATGGCAGCTGCCTTATTAACCCTGTAGTCCCTGAAGTATTGTCCCCACCCTTAAGCTGAGCCCAGGATGGATCTTTCCTCTTCCCAGGAGTGAACTCAGGCATGGCCTGGCAAGAGGCAGTGATGCTTCCCCCAGACCATGCCTCCAGACCAGGCCAGCAGTGACCTGTCCTCCACCCCTCCAGCCAGTTCCTCACCTGCTCAGGTGAGAGCCACCTGGGCCCCCACAGCGCAGAGGAGGGGGGCTGCTCCCCTGCTTCAAAGCCACCAGGGTCTTTGTTCCCAGTCTCAGCTCCTGGGAACCCCAGCAATTAGGAGAGTAGGTTTAACCCTTAAACGGTTGGGGGTGGCACCCCTCCTCCACTGAGGTTCTGGGGACACCAGCCTGGGCTTGTCCCTCTGCGAGGGAGGAGGGTGAAATTGGGGGAATGGATGAGGGGGGGCGTTTGAAGCTTCCAGGGCTGGGGGCATCTCTCTCACAGGTGCAATCCAGATCCAGCTGGGTGTAAGCAGGAAAGGGGAGGGGGGGTAGAGTAGGGGAGCAGGGCCAGCTGCCTTGCCGGCAGCGAGCAGGTGGAAGTCAGAAGCCCAGGGGCCCAGACGGGTGGCCAAACCCAGCTCCTCCAGGCTGTCGGGGGAATTCCCAGAGAGGCCCCTCCCGGAGTCGTGAACCGGTCCCTTCCCGCCTCCTCGCGCCTCAGCCTGCCCCCTAGCCTAGCCCCAGCCCCGCCGGGCTCACCGCGCTTGAGGATGGCGCTGTGGTGCGGCAGGCGGCCGCCGCCCTCGAGCGCCGAGCAGTTCCAGCGCTGGTCGCGCAGCTGGTGCTGACACTCGTGCACGGCGATGTGCAGGCCCTGCAGCGCGGACGCCGTCACGTCGGGGCTGCGCAGGCACAGGCCCAGCTGCCGCTTGCTCAGGCCCGACAGCGTCAGGCACACGGTGTTGGCGGTCAGTGGCGGCTCGCCGGGCAGTTTCAGGCCCAGGATCTCATTGCTCAGGGCCCTGGGGACCGAGAAGGCGGTGCTGGGTCTGTGGTCCAGGCCTCGCGCCCCCTTCGAGCCCTCCCATTGCTTCTCCCCGGCCGAGGGGGGTGGGGCTGGGTGACGGGGGGCTGCTCACCGACTGCACAGCGCCAGGACCAGGAGAGCCGCGAGGCCCCAGGGCGGAGGCCGCGGCCGGGGCTGCTCCCGCATGTCGAAGCCCGGGCCCGAAGGCCCCGATGGGCAGACCGGTCAGGGCCTGCGGGACAGGGGAGCTCTAGGAGGGTCTAGAGGAGGGTGGCTCGCCTGCCCCCCGCCCCCGGAGGATGCCCAACTTAAAGCTCTCAACTCACCAGGATCACCCCACTGACCCTTCTCTCTCCAAATGGCACAGTAAGAATCACCCCCTTGGTCCCCAGGCTTTGGGCCGTTGGGGGGGGGGGGGCTGGGGGAAGAAGAGTGGAGGCTTCGAAGCAGGGATTGAGCCGAGCGCCCCAGGAGCGGACCCTCTCCCACACAAGGCCAGGCACACAGACACACACCCTCCAACCCAGACGTACGCACCCACAGACACCGCTCCGCACCTCGCCCACCGCTCCCGCTCCCTCTGCAGGGGCCCCACGACTCGCCTCTCCCGCCCAGCGCAGCCTCACGCCCTCAGCGCGGGGAGGCGGGATCGGGAGGGGGTTTTCTGCCACCTACAGCCGGGGGTGGGGGTGGGGGTGGGGAGCGTGTGGCCTCCAGGTGCCGTCGAGGGCAGGCAGCTCCGTGAGGAGGTGGGGGGACGGGCTCCCCGCCGCCGGCTCCGCTGGCGGGGAAGGAAGGGGGACCCCAGGTGCGGCCAGGACGTGGAGGGGACCTGCTCCGGCCGAAAGGGACCGCGCGGTGCAGGCTGAGTCCCCTTCCCCGTCCGCCACAACTGCTCGTTCCTGCTCCGAGGGTCGCCCCTCGGGTCCCCACAGGTCCCAGCCTCAGTCCCCACCCCTGCGCTATCTCGTGCACATCTGCGGGCACTCCTTTCTTCGCCGGGTCTTTATCTCTGGCGATCTCCCTGGCTCTCTCTCTCTCTCTCTCTCTCTCTCTCTCTCTCTCTCTCTCTCTCTCTCTCTCTCTCTCTCTCTCTCTCTCTCTCTCTCTCTGCATCTCCGTGCCCTTGTGGGAGGATGCCTGTCTGACTCCCCGCGCGCCCGTCTGGTCCCCCCGCGCGCGCCCCTGCGCTCCCCGCCCGGCCGGCCCGGTCACCTCCAGCTGCTCCGGCGCGGGGTCCACCCCGGCGGGGTCCGGGCGCCTGGGCGCGGGCCGCTCAGACCGCGGGGAGACTGCGCCGGGCTCTGCCCCCTCGGCGGAGCCGCATTCTTCCAGGGCAGGGCCACTCCTCTCCGCCGCTTTCCCAGCGCCGCCGCGGCCGCCGGGAGGGAAGAAGGGAGGGAGGAAGGGAGGGAGCAATCGAGAAAGCCTGCGGAGAGGGCGAGCCAGGAGCTGGGGACTCTGGCTTTCCCTGCGCGGAGCTCCCGGTCGGCTCTGCCACGGCTGACGGAGCTGCGGCCCCTCCCCGAGCCTGGGGCATCCCCACCCCGCTCCTGGCACCCCCGCCTTGACCCGGGGAGCGCAGCCGCTCCCCCTCCTCCCAGCCTACACACTCACACACACACCCTCTCCCCCGACGCCCGGGCTCAGGCTTGGCCCCACGGAAGGGGGAGGTGGCCAGAGTTCCTCTCTCACCTGCTCTGGAGTCGCCAAAGCTGCAAGGAGGGTGCGCTCATCCAGACCAGGGAGCCAGGACCCAGGTTCCAAGTGGTCATTTTTCTTTGCCTCGGTTTCCCCCACCGAGCCCTGGGTGGCTGGAAGATGTCTTGGACAAGACAAAGACAGAACCGAGAGGTAACTTCTCTTGTTGGACAGTTTCCTGAAGAGCCCTCAGCAGGAGCACACCACAGGGCGCTGGGAGCCAGCCGGCGGGAGAAACTCCCTTCAAGCTCTGTGCCTGCCCCTTGGAGGGGTCAGCTTTGGGCTCAGAGTTTGGTCCTAGCAGAGGCTCCTGTAGCCCCAAAGATCTTCAGCCTGCCCCGTGCTCCCCTCATCTTGCAGACATCCTTGTCCAGAGGTCTCCTGCCTCCCCCGGATCCCAGGTCTGCACTCTGGGTGGCCCGTATTCCTGCTCTAGGCTCGTAGACTCGCTTCCCATGAAACCAGGACCCGAGGACGATCCCAATCTTAACCCAGCCTTAGGGCAGCCAGGGAAAGAGCCTGATCTGGGGGTGCACAGTCAAGGCATGCCACCTTAGGGAGCTGCAGTGGCAGTGAAGGGGTTAGGTGCCGCTGCACTCTTGCCTGACTCACCCTCCCAGCTCTAACCACTGTGGGCTATTTTTGCCAGAGAGGGGCCCCAGGCTTCCCAGCCGCCCCCCCCTGCCCCTGCCAGACCGCAGCCCAAGGAACGGCTGGCCCTTCGATCCCAAGGCTGGCACGCTGACTCAGAGACAGGCCCCCCAGGGAAGCAGAGCCACGGGGCTGAAACCCACATCCACAGTCATCTCTTCCTTGGTGGTGGCCATTTGGCTCTGCTGAGCAGCCAGCCTCCAGCCTGCACTTCTGGAGTCCTGGCCCGTGCTGCCGGGGACACTGCTGTCTAGGAGGCAGAGCAGTCTGGAGAGATCAGAGATTTTCATCTGGTGGGATATTTATTGATCACCCTTATGTGCCAGGCCCTGAGCAAGCCAGAGAGGTATAAGCGCTATGGTTCCCGACAATGGACAGCTGTGACCACAGGAGGTTGTTTTTTTTTCTGTGTTCCACCTGAGGGAGGTGGGGGAGAAGGTACCCTAGAGCTATTGCCTCTCCTTCCTGTTTAGGGGACAGGAACCAAACCGAGGGTGGCTTTTGAGGCCATCAGAATCCACAAGACCTATCCCAGTAGCTCTCATTCTCACACCTGGATTTGGTGATTCTGGCCAGTGTCTTGTCCTTCTTCCTGCACGTCAGCCTAGAAATCCACCCAGGTCCCTGGAGGAGGGGAGTGAGGTGCCCTAGTCCCCTCTTCTCCCATGGGATCACTTGGACATGTGTCTCTGAGTCCCCCTCAGGTTTTGGAGAGCTCCTTATGGTTTGGTCCTTGTCAGGCTGCAGTTTAATCTGATGCCAAGGAAGGGCCAGGGTCAGAACCATCCATTGCAACTTCTCAGTGACTCCAGGGCTCCCCAAGTTAGCCTGTCTCAAATCCAAAAACCCATACAGCTGGTCCCTTTTCCTGGAGAAAACTCTGGGACAGGAGGCCAAAGGCAGGCAGACTGGGTGGCCTGAGCTGGCCCCCAGTGCCCTCAGCCCGACCGGCTGGCCTGAGCACTGACCCGCAGGCAGGCCGCTGAGGGTGGTGGGGCAGGCGGGGCCTGGAGAGGGCTGTGGGTACACACCCATTGCCTAATATCCCAAGCACGCGGCCAGCTCCAGGAAAGGGGAGGGGCGGGAACCAGAGAGACCTTGACAAGGGTTGGGGCCATGACTAGAGGGGAAAGTGAGGGGCTGTCATTACTTCAGGGAGAGAGTGGGAAAGAGCTAATCCCCCTGCTCCTTGATGAGAAGAGTGGAGGGCTGCCTTCCCATCACAGGGATGGAGGGTGTAGCCGGATCTATCTGGGAAGGACACTGGGGCCCTGGAGGGCGGGGGTCAAACGAGAATGGGGGCCTCTGGAGATTGGGGGATCGAGCAACCGAGGCGGTGGCTTAAGCCAAGAGCAGCCTCGGAAACCTCCTTCTCCTCCCGCTGTGTTTGCCTTGGCCCGGGGTCCCGAGTGAGTCATCTATTGCTGAGCCGCTGATAGGGGCGGCCAGGCCCGGGGAACCCAAATTATAGGCCCAGGAGGGATGGATGCGCCCGCAGTGGTGAGCTCAGCTGTGCTGCCCACCCTCCTCCTCTCACGCCTTCTACTGCAGCACCGTAGGCCACCACCTGGAGGCGCCAAAGGGTCCGAATCCCAACTGCGCTGGGCTCTCAGAAGCCCCCACGTTCAGCAGTGAGTTCCAAGAGTGGGTGGGATTACCTTAGCCAGAACTTGGTCCGCTTCTCTGCCAGAGGCTGATGCCTTCTCAGACCAAGGAGGTAGTGCCGCCTGCTGGTGCTTCAAAGGAAGGTAGGCTCCTCTGCCCACAAACTCAGCCCTGTTCCCCTGCTTCCTCCCCTCAGACAGCTCTCTCCCCTGTTTCTATTCCAAAGGGCTGATTTGCTACTTTCAAGCCTTTAAAATTCTCAGTGATCAAAAGTGATCCCAAGAAAAATAAAGCAGGGTAAAGGAGATAGTGGGATTTCATTCTATGGGGGGAGAGAAAAGTAAGTGAGACAACAAACCTATGGAGTTCCCTGAGGAAGGGCATTTCAGAAGACAGAAAAGCAAGGGCAAAGATCCTGAGACAGGAGCTTGTTTAGTATGTTCAAGAAATTAGCAAGGAGGCCAGTGTGGTGTAGGGAGAAACCCACCTGGAGAGAGTAGTAGGCAATGAAATTAGAGGGCAAGCTAGGAGCAGGGTCAGATCATAATGGCCGTGAAGGCTACTGTTAAGATTTTGCCTTTTTCTTTGAGTGAGATGGGGAATCACTGGAAAATTCTGGGCAGGGAAATTAGTAATCTGACTTTTGTTTTAGAAAGAATAGTTCTGGTTGCTGTGTGGAGAACAGACTGTGTGTGTGGAGAGGGGGCATAAGCACAAACCACCGTTGTAGCAGTAAGGTGGTAAGAATGGATCAGATTCTGCATATATTTTGAAGACAGAAGGACAGGATTTGTTGACTGATTTGAAGTTCAGTATAAGAAAACAGATGAGTCAAGGATAACTTTAAAATTCTTTTCCTGAGCAACTAAAGGAAGGATGGAGTTTCCAGTTACTGAGCTGAGGATGACTGATGACAAAGCAGGTTAGGGCGAGGGAAGAATCAGGAGTTCAAGTTTTGGGCATGCGCCTTTTTGAGATGCTTATTCAATTGTTAGATGTGCAAGTCAGAGGGTCCAGAGACATAAATTAGGGAGCATGAGACCAGAGAGTTCACCAAAGGAGTGAGTGTAGACTGAGAAGAAGCTCCCAATTGAACTGGGGTACAGTCCCAATTTAGTTTAGAAACTGGTACACAAGGTGGAACCAGATAAGGAGACTGAGAAGGTGAGCAGCCCAGGAGGTAGGAATGGTGTTCCAGAACTTTTCAAAAAGGAGGAAGTGTCCAACTC